TCTAAGCACCTAAACTTGGCCACCAGACTCAAAAAACTTGAAAGGACATTAACATAAAACTCTTGGGACCATTGACAGATTGAAGACAAAAGGAGGTAAGTTTACCTTGTGCAAGTTATAGTGGGTCATAAGGTCGTCAGAGAGGATGGCATCATGAACAAGTAGATCATCCCAAATGATCCTACACTTAGGAACAACTTTCCAAGCAGCCACAATTTTGAAGAAATTTTTTTCGCAGCAAGTGGTGAGAAAGGTTGGAATTGCTTCAACAGAGGGTTTATGAAAGGCATCTGTAGCAATTTGGGAACAAGTCTTACGACGAGGGAGAGGTGATTAAGCACCAAAGTGATGGAATGAGGAGTTGTTTCCAAGCATGGTGGGGAGTTTCCTGGTGAAGAGAGTTTGAAGATTTACAGTTGTGAGGGACAATAGTGAGGATAAACGACACCAAAAGTGAAAGTAAAAACCAATTGAGATTAGATAGGGTAAGTGCCTAGGGCATTGTGAGATTATTCTGGTCCGTAAAGATGACACAAACGGTTGAGATTGGAAGGATAAATAATCCTAATACTAAAATCTTAATCCCAAATTTATTAAATTAACCTAAAACTAAAATCTTATTCCTAAACTTTTCAAATTAACCCTAAAACTAAAATGATAATCCTAAATTTATGAAATTAACCCTAAAACTAAAATGTTAATCCTAAATTTTTGAAATTAACCCTAAAACTAAAATCTTAATCCTAAATTTATTAAATTAACCCTAATACTAAGATCATAATCTTAAATTTATTAAATAAAACAAAATTCCTAAACCAAGAATAAGAAAATTAACAATTACTAAATTAAAATAATTAACAAAAATTAAAAAACGCAAAAAAAAAAAAATATTGCAAAAATAGAGAAAAAAAAAAACCAGAAACCCATCCTAGATCCCAATCCCAACCCCAACCCCAACTGACACACCCCGACCCAGAATGTCCACTAGGACTCCAAATCGAGCTGTGCTAACCGACACTAGGAAGATGACGAAGCCATAAAGTATAATGATGTGGAAAATGTGAATAAATTTAAACCTAAAAGTGCCTAGAGACAAAAGTGCGTCGTGAGCGGGGATGAACCCATTTCACACGCGACGTCAAAGCATAAGTAAAGTACAATAGTGTGGGTAAGGATCATACCTCAGAGGTAGCCACCTATACTGAGATTCGCCACAAATCCTCATCAATACGAACTTTCAACAACTAAAACCTAGAGGGGCGCAAAAACAAGGGTGAGTGGGCCTGAAAATAAAGTTTTTAATAAAAACCTTTTGAAAACGTTATAGCCCCTCGCCGTAAAACCCGCATAATTTCTCAGAAAATAATAATACATACATATATAGAAAGCATGCTCGAGATTAGTGAAAACCGAGTATATGCCATGTTAAGTATCTCAGCAATAAAATAAGTAAGCTAGGTGAAATAAATCAATGTAAAATGATATGCCAACCGGAGTCACCTAACGTGACTTGTACGGCTAAACCTATAGCTCATTAAATATGCCTGCACACGAGTCGGAACCACCTATTGTGGTCTGTATGACAAGGCTGGGTGTAAATAAGTACGCTCAAGTGCTACAATCACGTGAAGGCTGTGCGAATAATCGCGGATCACCTACGAGTCGAAACCACCTAATGTGGTACGTATGACAAAGCTGTGCACCAAACTTGGATCCAAGGTGAGCGTGCAGTGCGGGAGGTGAACATCACATGAAGGACTATGCCCTGCCCACGGGCGGGAGCACTAACACCAGGATGCAGGATAATGAGCTCTACATGCCTCTATGTATAACCATAACCAATGCAACCACTAACATCATACAGTACTCACCTGAAACTTACCTAGCCTCCGTAGCATCATACAATAATATGCATATACATACCAATGCATATAATAAAATGAAATGCAAGCATGACATGGCACTTAAAACGTAAATCCACTTAAAACAATTTCTGGGAAAAATGGAAAACATATATATACGTATTTATAGAAAACCAAAAGCCCACTCACCTGGAGTCCGCACTACAACTCCCTAACACAAACATCAGAGCGTCACGAATGATCGGCGCCTAAAACAATTATCAAATCATGTCTTAGAATTCTCATCAATAGAACATATAACTTACATATCCTATTCGGGAAGATCTGTACATCAGATTCCCTATCCGTAAGTTTCTAATATCCTCAAATATTACGTATTATAACGTATCAAATTTTGGTGACGATCCAACAGTCGGATCATCGATTACTATAATAATCAAGCGGCGGACCTTTATGAAACTACGTTCAAATGACGGAAATTCATTAATCGGACTTCACCAATGGAATCAAGGTATTAAAATTTAGCCTAGGAAGGTTAGGGGATGTCTTGGTCCACGCGCCACCACAAGTGGCGGTCGGCCGCCCCGACTCATTGGAAAATTCTACTATTTCTAAAAATTCTCAAACTTTACAGGAATGAAGATCTCAATGAGTGGAGCAACTTTCATACCTATGACTAAGGCCAATTTGGCCAGCAAAAGCCTCAATTTCATGAAAACCTGCCGGAAACCCTTAAATTTGGTGTTCTTGATACAACTCCCAAAACAACTCTGACGCCCCAACCAATGCATGGGCTTTGTTCCAAGCCTCAAGGGAAGTCAATTGATGGTGGTGGTTGGCTGAGGTACCTTCGGATTTGGTGGATCACCACCCCATAGCCGTCGCACCCACTAGTGCAAAACCTTTCAATTCCAAACCCAATCCTCTCAAATTTGAAGTGGAAATGGTAGAGGAAGAGTAGAATTGATGATTGGAAATCATGAATTGGCCCATTTCATCAGAAAAATGGTGAAATTCATTGGAGAACCCACCTGTTACAACTTGTGTCGCCGATCGAAGGGAACCTGGCCGGTTCCTCTCCTTTTCCCCTCTCTCCTTTCCCTTCCTTGCTCTCTCTTCCCATTGGTCACTCTCTCTTTCTCTTCTTTCTCATTGGTCCGGTTCCTCCCTCCTTTCTCTCCTTTATATTTCATCTCCACTGCCCAACTTTCCTTTCTTTAAATCTAGGCCACACACATGGATGTCCAGATTAAGCTCCAAAAATCTGGAGCTTTCTAGAAAATAACCAATTTACTAAAATGCCCCCTACTTTAAATGTTAATATCTCCTTTGTTATAACTCCAAATCACAATCCGTTTGCGCCCATATGTCCGTAGCGACGAGTACTACGAGGATACGCCAAGAAAATGAATCTTACGTAACTCGACAAGGCAGTCAACAAAAGCAACGCATTTGCCTTGAAGGGCATTTTCATAAATTCACTTTATAAAATCGTAATAATTAGGTACGGGTTGTTACACCAACCCTGACCCTAACCCATCGTCGAATCTGACCCTCACCCCAAACCCTAATCCCTAAATTCCTAATCCCGTAATCCCCTAATCCATACATCCCCTAACCCCTAAAACAACAAATCAAATTAGAAACTAAAAAACAAATTGAAATTACCTTAATTAGGATTTATAAATTGGAGGTGGTGGTGCAGCGGCGAAGATGGGGCAGAGGATTCCCAAAACAAAGGGGGTCGTGAGAGAGAGGTTTGGAGAGAGAGTGCGTGAGAGAGAGAGAGGTGTTTTTGAGAGAGAGCGCAACAAAGACGGAGTGTTTGCAGAAAATGGAAGAAAGAGGACCCTTTGTAAGATTAATACGATACACTTTGTACAATGAAGCGCAACATTTGATGAAAATTTAAAAACACCGCCTCTTTAATATGAAATAACGAAACCTTTGCACGATGAAATAATGATTATTCGTCGTGTAAGTTCCAAAATTAAAATTAATTCGCTTGCCCAAGCTTTCATTTCAATTTAAATTTAAAACTTTTTGCGCGTTGAATATAGTAATTTCATTGCGCAAAAAGGACTCGTTCGACGAAACAATTAAAAGTTCGTCACGGAGGTTCGAAAATTTTAATACGTGCCCAATTTTGGCGGCCAGTCAGAATTAATAACAATTGCGTGATGAATATATAAAGTTCATCTTGTAAAGTATTTTTGCGCGACAAATAAGTCCTATTAGTCGCGCAAAATCGCTTTGCGAGACGAATTGTATTTATTCGTCGTGCAAGTTCTATTTAATTTTTTCATTTATCCCTCATGTTATTACAAATGTAATAAGTTAAATTTTATTTACGTAAAAAATAAAATAGAATAAGTAGAATATAAATTGAATTTAATTCACAAGTTTACATTAATCCTTGTCGGAACTATCATCAATATTATCACTATCGTCGCCTTCATCATATTCGGTATCCCATTCCTTCTCGTCGGTTGGTACATCAAGATCATCATTCCGGCCCTCAGGTGCATTGTATCTTAGCAGATCACCGATGTCAATTGTAATTGACTCTATCAGTATTTCGATTTTAGCAACTCCAACTACATGAAATAGTTTTTGGACAAGATTTGTATCCCGGAGTGTTTCTAGACCAATTTCTGTCAAAGTTTCGAGTTATTGGCCAACAAAGTTGTCGTCATTGCCGTCATCAAGATCTCGTTCCAGAATATCACACCCCTTTATGATCAATCTTTTGAACAACTTTTCTTCCCCTCCCGGCCTTTGAGTCATCGATGTAGAGAATTTGTTTGGCCATTGTTGCCAAAATGTACATATCATCATTGTACCAACATCGGTTAGTGTTCAACGAGGAGTACATGAAGATGTTTTGGGCTGTCCATCCATAAGTACCAGCAATCTTGGACCGGACGGAGAATTGTCACCGGAGAGGCTAAACGCGGGCAGATGCGCTCTGGCTGATTATGGCAACCGTAACAGTAACACCAGTGTATGTGCTTGAGCACATCGTTGAAGAGAGCAAGATGACGACAAACGAAGGGGAAGGGGATGGTGGATGGGGAATGATCCTGGGTTGTGTTGCGACTTTTATCCATTGTTATATTGTAAAACAATGTCATCAGGTGAAAGAAACAAGTCTAACATATAGTAAACTTTTAGCAAAATGTTAGCACTCGATAAAAAAACCATGAACCGATTTCTAAAAATTCATGTCTAAATTATAAATATTAAATTAAATCCACTCCATCTCCGACTTTACAAACAACCCACTCCATCCCCAGTCATGATTTTTTTTTTTCATAAAAAGAGAGAACTTAGAACCTTTGTGGAGAGCTAAAAAGGGGAACTTAAAACAACAATTTCACCAGCCACATTGCCTAGCTACTTTAACGTCTTTGACGGCAGTGTGCTCGCAGACCAAAGCAGAACTGGAGATAACTCATACAACTCCGGAAGGGAGACGCAGGACAAGCTGCCCTCCGAAAACACTGCCAAAACAAAAATGTCCACAGTATGTAGAGGTTGAATGAAAGAATATACACTTGGGAAAAGAAAAGGAAACTTGGCACTAACATAATGGATTTAAGGCTAACCTTTTGATGTAGTAGTAACAGAAGTCTGCTAATATGAAAGTCTGGACAATTTCTGAAATAAGAACCATGGATGGCCATAACCCATAGCCCAAGGCTACAAGCAAGTGTCCGCGAGTATCTAATACCTGTTAGAGCCATTCAGCAAAAACCGATCAAATTGGAAAGTATGATTCTTCTAAGACTTTGATCAATTAAATGCTCATACACTTTTATATAACTAGAGCAAGTGTCAGAGCACAAAAGGATGGACAACAACTTCTAAAGGCTACTTATGACACGACAAGGGTCTCACTTCATCATTACAAAAAACTAAAGTAGGAAAAGTTGTTATATACTGCTAGCTTATGATCAATATGCTACTTTCAAGTATGAGATTAAAGCCGACCAACGAGGTGCCTACATGGGAATTGATTCAAAACACATCACAAACAGCGTTTAGGAATCAATCCACAAACTCATCTAGTGTCTTGCAAAATAACCATTTTTCCAAAATGCCGCAAACAAAACAAACTAATACAAATAAACCATGTATAAAGATCGAACCTGGAGAACCCAATGGGCACAGCTGAGGAACCTTGCGACACCCAGTGCAAACACATAATGAGCTGTGAATGGCTCAACAATCTGAAATTATAAATATAAAATACACCATTAGGTAAGCAAGCAGTCAAAGTTGTGAAACCATAAACATTCAAGTTTTTCATTCTATGAAATCTGACCTTTGTGTTTTGCATGACCCGCAACTGGGGCAGTACAGAAACAGCTTCCAGATACACACAAAATGCCCAGGAAATCCTGTTCAGCAAATGATGAGAAGTTGATGGATGAATAAACAAGGCCAAAAGAGCACATGGTACCACCTGCATAAAATCAAAAAAGAAATTAGTAGCAGAAAGAACGCAACTTATTCATGACAACTAGTAAGCAACTTAATATTTTGATCAAGAATAAACTTCGTGATGCATCATCACAGAAAAAGGAGGTCAATCAATTTGCCCTTGTAATCATGTTCCTACAATTGTCCAATGTGTAGCAACACAGATTAACAAGATCACACACCTCCAATTTGCAAAAATTATGTTTATCACTTTCAACAGAAACTCAAGCGATAAAGAAAAAAATAATGCTTTTGTATAATTTTATAAATGCAGAAATCCCCCTTCACATATAACACTTCACTGAAAAATAGAAAGAACAACCAAGATAACATTGACGAAGAAAGAAACTTACGACATAATATATTGCGAAGTTGTCTTTATCCTCCATGTAACTAGACTTCAAGTTGAACCGGATCATATAAATAACCCAGAGGGTCGTCACCAGGGTAGCTAAATCTAGCAGGGTGTGTATATCATATTCCATAACAACACTACAATATAATCTCACAGCTAAAAACATAGCTGTTAATTCCTGCGATTTGAGTGATAGCCCTGCAAACAATTCCATTATTTTCCAATCAAACTTCCACGAGTTTCATAGCGGAAAACATATTCAACAGGTTGGTAAAACAAGGAACAGAAACACTAGTCTAGTTCCTCATTTCTGAACTGATAGAATTATGAAATTATTTTGAAACAATTATATCACCAACCAACAAAACCCAGATTTTTTTTCACGAAAATAAATCCAGCCCAGATTTTTTTTGGTTAAGCAACAAAACCTAGATTTTCCCTCCATTGATAACAATTTTCTCACAAACCAAACAAACCCAATACAGGAAACCTTGCATGCGAAATTCCACAAATATAAATAATAATAATAATAATAATAATCCCCCATTCCCCACAACAGAAAAGCAAGTACCAAAGTCGAATCAGCCAAAAAAAAAAAAAAAACAACAAATCAATTGCATCAACAATCCTTAAAATCCCAAATTTTCCACCCATTTAAATAAAAATTAAAAAAAAAAACCTAGAAAGCTCGAAACTTTACCAGCGCAAGTCTTCTCCTTCATGAGCTTATATATAAGTACGGAGATTCCAATCGAGTGCACAGCCTCAGCTGCAACAAAGAGATTGTCGTGATCGTGGACGATGAATCGGAGCAGAACCAGCGCCGCCATGCCCGAAACGACGGCCAGAAAGGCCTGAACTTTGGACGGCTGGCGTCGCGCCCATGTCCATACGGTGTGGATCGGCCTCTTCGGAGCCCTCATGAGGTTTTGTTTTTGTTTTTGTTTTTGTTTTTGTTTTTGATTTTCTTTTCCCCCTTTGTAATTTTCTCGGCCCCTTGATTTTCCCGGAAAGTTTGATGTGGAGGACAGAAAGTGAGGTAAAACTAATTAATGCGTGTTGTTGTGGTGCGGAAACAGGATCCCTCACAAGTTAGAGAACGAGAGAGATTTGCATTTCTTAATTGCACCGTTTTGCAATGGGAAAGGAGAGACCATTTTTGTTCCGGTATTAATAAAAGAACATGTACGACATGTTTTACATGTCGTTTTAGTTGAATGTCAATGTGGCATGTGGTCAGTGGATTGGATGACAAGGCACTGTCTTGAGAGAAAACCTTGACACTCGGTTGCTTTAGCAGACAGAACCGTAACGTAATCAAAATATGAAATTAATTACTTAAATTAAAGGGAATTATTATTTTTCTTTCTAATTATCAAAATATTGAAGTGCAAAATGAGATTTTTTAAGTGTCAATAACAATTTCCAAATTAAATTATACGATATCCAACCACTTAGTACTACGGTGTAGAAGTATTCCTCTTCACTTGTAAGTGAGAGGTCTTAGATTTGATTCTCGCCAAAGTCGAATTTGAATCACATTATTGCTAGCTCATTGTGAAGCTAAGTCCACCCCTTAGTATCGATAATTTGTTTTCTTTTTTTAACAAACAATATTATCTACACTAAGGGGGTGGTGAAATGGGCTAAGCCTCACACTGGGCTAGCCATAATAATGTGGTTCAAATACGTAATTGGCGAAAATAGAACCTAAGACCTCTCACCTACAAGTGAAAAAAAATACCACTAAACTATAATATCAAGTGACAATAAGAAGAAATCTATCAAAAATGTATATTGTACAATATTTATATTTGATAACATAACAAGAGGTAGGGGTGGGAAATTTTTCCATAAACCAATTTACCAACCGAACCGTACTGGTTGGTTCATAATGGTATGGTATAGTTTTGGCATTTTTTCATAATCGGTTGGCATTATTCCGAACCGATAATTAATGGTATGACTTTGGTATTGGATTATGTATACTGAAATTATGCCATAGCTGCCGATATATATATATATATATATATATTTTGGAAACTATTATTAGGACTCCAAAAATCTCATTCTACACTCCTCACAAGTGCATTTTTCTTTCTAATTATAAAAAGTTTGGAGTGCCAAATGAGATTTTTGGAGTGCTAATAATAATTTCCTATTTTTTTTTTCTCTATTTACTTCTTATTCTAATCATACTTTTTTTTTATATAACATTTTAATTGAATTGAATTGATTCATGAAAGATTTCACATGCATTGGTTGCTGCTACTTCAGTGATGTTGCATTATCAAAACAACAAGTTATTTGTTTTGGGATTATAATAAGGGAATCTTATAACCAGAACCATACTTTTGAGTTTTGAGTTTTTTGTTTATGCATTAGTTGCTACAATTTAATTTAAACAATCATGTTAGTTAGACTTTTGAGTTTGTGAACTTATAACTATTTGAATTATGTTTGTTGATATTGTTGTTGGCATATTAAGTTTTGATTTGATTTTCATTTTAATTTGTTAAGTCATGATTATGTTGGCTTACAATTGAAAAATTGAAGCAGCAACTTCTTTTTCTCTTTTCTAGTTTGTTGTGTACGGGTCAGTGCATAGTCTTGAGCTGTTGTTTTTGCAGCTTATTTGCAAATCATCGGTTGTGCCATTTACCAACCGAACCAACCAATAATTTTTGCTGAACCGATTTTTGGCAACTGCAAGAAGACAGTTGGCTAACGGTAACTAATTTTCGGTAATTATTTATATGTGGCTGGCAGGTGGCACCAAAAATTTGACATAGTTTGCCAACCGAACCCAGCCCTAACAAGAGGAAGGAAAGAGTTAAAATCTCTAAACGACAAAATATTTATTTAGCTCAGCGGTGAGCATGAGTATGGTGATTGTAGAAGTAGGCTAGAGATGCAAGATTCGAAACCCTCATTTGTAACCAAATAAAAAAAAAAAATTGTATTTGATTATAAACCAATCCAATCAAAACTTAAATTTGCTAAGCTATGTCCTTTTTAAATCTCTAAGTTGACAACAGGAATTACCAAATAAGGAACAAACACATGTGGTACACCAATCTGCCACCTTGACATTGTGATGTTGTTCATCCATTACGTTCAATATTGCACTTGGTGGACCAAATTCCTAGTTCCCCTTGTGATCAGACTTGAAATGGAAAATAACAACTCCAAACTCAAAAGCAGGCAGCAACATGATCCACTCAACAGTTCTTCCGGGGCCAAAAGTGCTTATGTGGGTAAAGTCTTTGTCAGGGAAAAGTCCCTGGCATCAAATCGCACCTCTACAAGGCAGTAATGACATAATATGGAATCCATCACAATCGGACACAGATGGAGAAAAAACCTACGATAAAAAAAATAAACCCAAAGGTTTTGCACTAGGGAAAGGACATTCTGCAAGCATACTACAACGAACAAGTAACTTATTTAAAATTAAAGAAGTAAGATGGTACTACTTCATCAAATTCTTGGTCCCCCTTCAACGCCCCTAACTCCTAAACCAAACCCTTGTGCCGATTAGGTCATAGGTTGACCGCGATTGAATTAGCAAGTCCATGAATTTGATCTCCTCACAACCGGTTTCATCTGTTTGTCATCCTCGAGCACTATCATACCCAAATGAGATGGATTTTCCAACATCATCTTTGCGACCAAGTATCCTACAACTGATCAGGTAACGACCAAGAAAGGGCGGAGCCAAGATTTTTTTCATGGGTGGATTGGCTAAAATAATTACTATAAAGTAACATAATTTTTTTGTTCCTACCAAAATTATATAATGATACATGAATATGATACTCTAAAATCTGAAATAATAATCCAAACTAACATAACAGGTAATACAATTTCATTTTTTACTTTAAAAATCTTCATTAATTACATATTAAATTATCGTTTTTAATAGAACTGGGTGGACTATATATAAGTATAATAGGTTAAATAGGGTTAATACATAGACTATTAGCGAGAGTTTAAACTAAAGCTTCCTTGCTACAGCCCACCTTAGTCGTGGGTGTAGCTCCGCCCATCGATCACAGTACTCAGGCCAGATGTCTTTCAGCAATCTGCTCTCGGCAAGTTCAATGGCACGTCTAGCAATCAGGCTGCCCGGTCTTGCTGGATGCAGCAGTGAAGCCATAAGAGCAATGTACAGACCAGAACGACAACATGTTACTTGGCCAGAAAACAAAAATGGCACCAAATATAACTTATCATTACCGCATCATTTAATTATCAGGGTAAGCACTAAGAAGTATAGGCAGGTGTGTCTGTGTCACAGTAATCACCCTTTAAAAACAGAAAAAATACTACCTTTTTTTATCTCAGTCTATCGCTAATAACTCATGATCAAGGGAGTGGAAGGAGGATGAGGAGGAGAGGAGGCGTTTTTCTTTTTTTTACCACTCCATTGTTATCAGACATATTGGTCGGGATGGTTCGGATAAACAGTCAGCATTTACGTTATGAGTTTGTGCAGAGGAGAATATAGTGTGAAAGCATACCTGGCCAAGAGCCTCCGTTGTGGTAGTTCCATCTAGCATTTTTGGAAACGCAGCCTGTTACAATCTTCCGTTCAAGATTTTCTATTGCTGGATAACAAACCTTTAGTGGCATTACTCCTGCCAATTCCTCCCATCGTGATTCTATGAGATCCATTATTGCCATGGATTCTTCAGGGGTTGCTAAGGATGAAAGAATCGCTAAATAATTACCCAAGCAAAACCAACGGAAATCCATTCTGGCAGGACTGCTATTCCTAATAAAGTAACCACCAGGAGTTGGCATAAAATCAAAGACCCAGTCGGCCCAGTCCGGAAGAGAAACTGGTATCAAATTGAACTTGTTGACTGCTGTATATGAGTACTCTTCAGTTTTATATCGATATATGTCATTTAACTGCTTAAAGTCTACCAAAAGTAACTTCTCATGTGATAGCTCAAGGCATGAAGGCGTTTTGATATGCGCTCTATAAACTCCTCCCCCTCGTCATCGTGCTTAACCAAAAGCAAAGCACATATTAAAGCCATGAAGAAAAGAACCTGAAAACACATAACCAATAAAGAAGTGAGCTAAAAGAAAACGATAGGCAACACATAATTTATATACAAAATCTAAAAACGCTGCATATCTGTATCAAAACATAAATGGAAAATGACTTGAAATGATAAATGATGAATATCTAGAGATGCTTGTTAGAGCATGCCCGAAATGCCTTGTATTACAAGAAAATGTAATCCATATAGATTTTCTTATTTAATCTCTTTCAGCAATTTAATTGATAATGAAACAGACGAGATGGCTGACCGGGTGGACAGCAAATTCAGTAAGACCATTACTCATGGAAGGATGATTTGAATTTCAATATGTTGTAGACTTAAGTTACGAGCTCCAAAACTAACAACTTATGCGTATGCTAATATTTCAAGGGTTTACCCATGGATGCATGATATCAGGCATATATGGCATGCATCATACCGTACGATAAAAATACAGGACTCGACATAATTATGAAAATTCACCATTCTACAATCAATCATGCAGCATCGATCAGCACAAAGGGTTGGAAATGTGTCGAACCCCTCAGATAGGCATAAATAGCAGCATACCTTCTGGCATTCAGGTAGTTTAGCCAATGAAGAGTCTCTAGTGGATTTCGTGTATGTTTGAAGCAATATGTTCCACCAAAATCAAGAATAAACAGGAGCAACTCTTCCTACCGCTCTCTCACCAAAATCTGCTATTGAAGTCTCGCTGTTCCTGACTGGATCATCTAGTACTTTGAAACTAGCTGGCATTACTCATTCTCCTAGATGAAAACCTATCACAATACTCATGCTGACAGGAATAGGATGAAGAAAGTAACCTTGCACTGAATCTCATCACAATGCTTCATCGACTCCAT